CAAAATGCCATGGACTATAGGTAATCGACTACGCTGAGCATAGTAGCAACATTTGTTTTTGTGTAGAAATGAATATAACTTCGCAGAGGCATTGTTGTAAAAAACCGGTTTTTCGCCTGTTACTAGCAAAAATTAAAATCCTTATATCTCGATCAAATCTCATACTGACTCAAGGAAATTTTCAGAAAATGCTCAGGACAGCTCATAAAGCATAATCGAAGACGAAAAAGGTGAATGTGAGCTGGGCATTGGCTTAAGGTTTTCCAGAAACCTTCTGAAAAACCTCAGAGCATCAGTGTTCGCTGGATCAGTTTTTCGGCGTGGTCAACAACATATGGCACCTTTTAAGCTTTTTTTTTTTTTAAAAAAGTGGATGGATCCTCATGGATTCACCCAATAATATGTTTGCTTTATTCCGAAATTAATAATGAAAAGCAGAATAAAATAAGTTAGAAACCTGACGGTGTCGGCTGATTATTAACTTGATATCAACCAACTGCTAGAAGATAGGATTTGTAACTTTAAAATCATTTCACAGTTCTTTTGGTTTTCCGGGTAAATCCCTATTCTACTGATAGCTCGAAAATGGTGGCGATACCTTAGAAGTAAGAATTACGGTATTCCTTTTTTTAGGCGACATCGCTAATTTTTATAATCCATTATTTTTTGCAAAAGTGTCAGAACAGTGAGTGTATCATGTCATTAAATTTTTTCTGCTACATTTCTCGATGAATTGCTTGGATCTTTTGAAGGAAATGTGATTAAGAACTAAGGAGGGTTCCGTTTGAAGAGTCGTCTCTCTTCTACAAATCTGCACAAAAGATTTTCTGAATGAGACGCTGAGAAGGCAGAGCCAAATTAAAATAATCTTGCACATGCACCAATTCAAAGAACATCCTGAAGAACATGTAAAAAGTTGTCCTTTTGTTTCTAAAATGACTGTATTCTACTCAGATCTTTTTGCTCTTTCTGAAGGTATGTTCAAAAAAAGGAATATGTTAATTACACAAACAACCGATAAAATGTATACATGACGGACTGCTCAATAATAAACAGCTCTTACAACTTTGATTTTGGCTGTTTTATAGTATTATATAGTACTTTTCCTCCGTAGTAGCATCCAGTTGCGATACCGGCACCAGCAACACCTATCCCTACCACTGGTAAAACTCCCAAACTCGTTACACCCAGGACTCCAACACTCTGCAGTAACGCCACCACACTTCCAGCTGCAACGCCACCACCATTAGCAATTGCGGCACTACTCATCATACCGGCCGCTACACTTCCGCCAGTTATACCACTTCCAGCAAAGCCTAATGCAGTAATAGCCGCTCCAGTTGCGGGTATAGCACATGCAGCTCCACCTGCGGCACATATAGTTCCGGCATTGTTAACCATGATTTTTTCCACAACCTCAACTTTTGATTGTTGAGGTTTAATATAGTAAATAAAATTCCAGATCCTGGAATTTGCTGACGACATATTCAGTAAATAATGAATGCGTCCAGTGAAACTAGTTTCTATTACAGAAAAAACTAAAACAAACCGCATGAATGAAGAAAATAGCCAGAGTTTTATGCCATCATGATTGAAAATAAAAAACTTAGTCTACCTAAATCAGTTCTTCAAAAAAGCGTTTTGCATTTTCTTCACAATGAATCCCATTAAAAACCTCCGCAATGTTTGCATCATTACGCAGATCGAATTCGCCCATCCGGATCCTTTTAATTGCGGAGATCGAGCGTTCGACCGGAATCTGCTCAATTGCTTTGCGTTCCGATATTTGGTTCTGGAGAATTCGGAGATCGGATCCGATACGCGGAACCAGTCGGATCCTTTAATTTCCGGTAACCGGAAACTGACGGATCCTGTGATATGCACTTTATTTTTCTTTCTTTCTTTCCTGTGCACTTAATACGTTCATCGTTTTATTTCATGACAGGAACACTTTAAGTACGACACTACAGGCAATGAAAAATGAGAAGTTGTTCTTCTCAAATTCTTAACGGTGTGAGTCATCGCTCACGGACATATTCAACGGACGTGTTGTACACGTCCTAACTAGTGGGAACTCTCGAATGAACAGAGAGAGAACCACTAGAAACTGAAAGAAAAAATTTAAAACTATTTTTAGCCTTAAAACACGTGAAAACTGGTCACATTCTGCCACATCGAGCAAAATCCGATACCTCAAACTCGAAGGATCCGGTCGGATCCTTTCCGACATCTTCCGAGCAACGGATTTCTAGCATGGTTGCTGTCAGATTTTACCGAATTTCGATAACTTCCGGCATGTTCTAGTGTTGGATCCGGCAGGATCCTGACATCGGAATCAACGACCTGGGTAGACATGAGCGTCGTCCCAAAAAAGTGTAATTCCCAAATACATTACCCAGTTTGAAAAACTCCATCACTTTAACTAACTTAATCCGCTTCAGAATCAGTGTTTCTAACAAAATTTATCCTCTGAGCATACAAGTACGCTCTGTTTTTCCAACCAAAGTGTATGCTCTGCTTTTTCCACAAAGCGTACACGTTTAAATTTTAAAGAATAAAGCATCAGTTAGGCATTTTTTGTGTTCTAAACAGCAGAATGACTCATCAGTAAAAAAGCTTTTCTTATTTTCTCTTAAATATAAAAAAAGTTCTGTTAGAAAATAAAGTGTACACTGTTCGCTTTTCTCAACAACGCGTAAAACAGACGTATTTTTAAATTCCGACGTATATGTAGAATTTACTATTAAAAACACTAAGATGAGAGAACGCTAGGGGCGAGCTTATCCTCGCAGCTGATTACGTTAGTTGAATGCTGTAAGAGAATAGATGATTCATTCTTTCTGGCTCTTTTATTCCATCCTTGATAAAGGCAGAAGATGGCGTTTTCTTGATCGAAAAATATTAAGAGTGTAAAGTTTTTTTCTTCTTTTCGCTTCATCAAGAGTACTGTCTTAACATAAGAAGGTGGAACACTTTTTTCTTATGGGGAACATCAGCTACAATGTTACTATACATTCACGGTGGAAACACCTGCTATAGAAATACCCGGAGTGGTATTTCACCACAGTAATTCTGAAACTAATCTTAAATTTAAGGATATTTAGTCGACTCAGCCTTTAATTTATAACTTTATATCAAATTTCAAACAGGTCAAAAGTAAATAACTGACGACAAAAAACAGCTAATTCTCTTCCAACACTTTTCTCTTCTAGCTTATCTTCACCTATAAAATACAAATATTAAGCAGTGTTTCTAATAGAAACCTAATATAAACACTGCTTGCGTGTAAAAACGAAAACATGGCCGTTAGATATTCCATGGATAAACCAATCATAAGGAAGAAAATAGAAAATTATTTTAAACATAGAACGAAAACATCAAAGAGATGACCTAGGAGATCTACTGATGAAGCGACCATATTAAGCTAAAAGCATCACTAAGGATATTTTGGAATTTTTATTTATAGTCGCATTTCTATTGGCAGAAATTCGACCCAATGTACGGGAAAAAAACGGAATTAGTCTGAATTCAGTAGCACGATAAAAGCCGTTGTCTGCTTTTAGCCACAAATAACTGCCACTAATAGTGGCTAAAAGCAGGATTGGTAAAAACTTTGCCACATATAAGAAAATTGTGTGAATCTTGCTTTCCCATCGGTGAATACCAAACAAAAGAGAAAGAAGTAAAAACGATGTCGCAGAAGTATGTTTCTTGCTCAGAGATCCAAGAAAAAATGTGAGAAACTAATCGAATTTTATATAGTTAGATTC